GCCTAACTGATCAGAAAATGCTATTCCCTTTGCCTTAGTGTTTTGGGATGGAACCATGACCTAAACCTGTGGTTTCTAAGACTTTGACCTCAGGACCCCTTTACACTCTTAAAAATTATTGAGGACCCCAAAGAGCTTCTGTTTAAGTAGGTTATACCTACTGATATTTACTATATTAAAATTTTAACATATATGAATATACAGACATAGTTCATTATCTATCAGTGATGATGTCACTACACATCATGTAACCTCCGGAAAATTCTACTGCATCTAGTGAGAAAGAAAGAGGGGAAAGACACATAATGGCTTACTACCAGTATGAAAATACTTTTGACTTTTGTAGACCCTCTGAAAAGGTCTTGTAATCTCCAGGTGTCCCTTGATACTCTCAACAACTGCTGATCTAAATTATAACCTACAGAAGCCAATGCATGTCTGAACTTCCTAAGCACATGAGCCAATGCTTTTTAGCTTACATCATAGTCAGTCACTTGCATGCAAAAACATTCTCATACATTTGAATTTCCAGTTAGGGACCTCGGAGGAAGAGAGTAAGGTGGAGGAAAAGTACAAAGGACTGTGGCACAAAATTATTCATCTGGGCAGCAGAAATATAATATGAAGCCCAAGGAAGGAAAGGTTCCAATTTATTTTAATAAACATGGCAGACATTGGAAAACACTGTCCTAGTTGTTCCCAAATAAGTGTCATCAAACTCCATGAGAAATTGAGGTTTCTCAGCTTCACTTCACTAAAAGGTAACCAGATAACCAGGGCACTAGAACTAAAATCAAAACGTCAGTTTCATTAGTGTGTGCGCTCAGTCGTATCTAACTCTTTGCAGCCCCATGGACTGTACGCCACCAGGCTTCTCTGTCCATGGAATTTTCCAGGCAAGAATGCTGGAGCGGGTTGCCATTTCTTACTCCAGGGGATATTCCTGATCTATGGATCAAAACAGCATCTTCTGCATTGGCAGGTGGATTCTTTACCACTGTGCCACATAAGACTAAATAAATTTTTCATTAGACTTTGGAAATTCCTAATTTAGAAAACTACTTCTGGGGAAAAAGCATTAAGCTATTTAGGTCAAATATTAAAAATTTCCCCATTATTCTCTATTCTATAGAGCTGTATTTTCTCTAAAAATGTGTCTAATTTCTAAGTCTCAGCTTTGAAAGAAACTTTGGAACGTTCTTTTCTAATAGGCTGAATTTCTGATTTGTAGGATTACACAGTAATGTAATTTACCACTGCCTATACTAGACTAAATAGTGTCCCCTCAAATTTCACATCCACACAGAACCTTGGTATGTGACCTGTGTGGAAATAGGGTTTTTGGAGATGTGATTAGTTAAAATGAGGTCATACTGGATTAATATGGGCCTTAAATCCAATGAGTGGTATCCTTATAAGAAGGGAAAATAAAAATACACATAGGGAAGAAGGCCATGCAAAGACAAAGGCAAAGACTGGCTGATGCAACTATAAGCCAAGGAATGCCAAGGATTGTAGGTAACCACCGAAAGCTAGAAAGAGGCAAGGGAAGAATCCTTCTCTAGAGCTTTTAGAGGGAGAATGGCTTTGCCAACACCTTGATTTTATATTTCTGGCCTCCAGAACCACAAGAGAACAAATTTCTGTTGTTTTAAGGCATGGGATTTGTGGTACTCAGTTATGGCAGCCCTAGGAACTAATACATTGCCTAATTCAGTCAGTCAAAAATTCATTTGAACTCCATTACACTTCCTTTGGGGAAAATACTATGTTAAAATCAACCAGAGTTTCACCTTATATTCATGCTTTTTTAAAAAAATTGTGCTAAAAACATAACAAAATTTACCATTTTAATCATTTTAAAGTGTACAAATCAGTGGAATTAAGTCTATTCAAAATGTTGCTTGCACCCATTTGTAATCCACTCAGTTGTGGCTATTAGACAATCAGGAAAGAGGCAAGAGCAGAATAAGACTTAGCAGAAAAATAATCCATTACCAAATTTGTTCCTTTTCCATCTAGTGCTAATGAGGAGAGTCTAACCCCAGAAAAGCCAGTAAATTTTTGCCTTATTACATTGAAAGTGTGACTAACCAGAGGAAAACTAAAGTCCTAGGAAGGCTAAATGTAAATACACCATTACTAGAAAAACTCAACTTTTCTTCATTTAGTAATTCATTTCTGATAAACTTTCATAACTTTTATAACAAAAATCATTATGACAGCCAAATATTTACCCATCTTTTATGTTAATTCTCATCGTAAACTCTTAGTTTTCATTATTAAAATATCAGGAATGGAGAGAATAAATCCCTGGGCATTTCTAATTCTTTAGGTACAAACCTTTCACTTTTTTACTTTCTCTCCTCTCCCACCCCCGTCTCTATATGTTCCTGAGATATTTATCAAGGTTTGGGAATACTACTCTCTTTCTACTTTCCAGAAAGCCTTCTTTGTTGTAAACTTGATTCCAGGATGAATTCTGAAGAAATGTCACATGGCGTTAAAAAGCATGTGCATACCCAATATTCATTCAATAACCAGCAGTAAAATAAAAAGTCACATTAGACAGTAAGGTCGCTGGACTTTTCCTGTGTAAATTTTGTTGTGTACATACATTTTTTTTTTTACAGATTCCTAAATTCAGCAGAGATGAATACACTTGAGGAAAACTGTTGAAAGACAAACATCTATTGTAATTGTCCAATTTTATTATAACATTACTTTTCAACAATTTTAGTAGTTTTAACAAACCTCCATATATTTTAAAAGGCTTAATTCATCTTTATCCTTCCCAATTAAATTTTAATGAATTTTACCATTACTGCTTTTATAGATACAGAAAGTCTCTTGCTTTCTGTCATTTGTGAAATGAATTTGCCAGTTTCTTTCCATGAATAATAACAGAATACTCTAAATTGAAAGGGTGCTTATCTACCAATTTATTTAAAGGATATAGAAAAAGGCCCCAATTTATTTAAGGTTACAGAATCTATAGTGGGCAGAATTAGAATTTCTCTAAAAATTTCAAGATATTTTAAAATCATTTCAGATTATGGGGCCTTAGAGGGAATAAAGATAGAAAGGTAAAGTAACCAACTATTTGCTTATCTTTGTTTGAATTTATACTTCCCATATATACCTCATTTAAACTGGTTCAGAATCCACAAGCTCCCAGGCTCTATGGTGATAGATCATTATAGGAAGTGGGATCATGAGCTGGCTTCAATTTTAAATCCTGTCAAAAATACATACTCAATACATACTCAAAAGTAATTTTACTAATTTTATTCTACCTCAATTCCACCCATCATCTCCTATGTACTCCCATTATTTAAAATGAAATATGTAACAATATGAATCTTCAGTTAGAGATTAGTCCACGTTCTAGTTGGCATAATAAAACTCATATAACCATCAAACTGAGATGTTCATTGTGTACAAATGATAATTATACTTTTTTGGGACACATTTTCATTTTTTTTTTTTACATTTTCATTTTTTATGCTTCCCAGTTTTACTATAGCTGAGAAGAAAAATTATACATACATGGGTGTATATGTTTTATTCAGAAGTTGAAAGGGCTAGAAAGAACTAAGAAACCTATGTGAAATAGCCACAGGTGATTAATAACACTTCATAAAAGATACATGAAGGTAAGTGTCAACAAATGCTATTTCATGGTAATTTCTCATCCCACAAATACTGAAAGGAAAATTGCCACCACCAGGGTTCTGTTTCCAGTTTTGTGATTGTAGCTCAGGTGGGAGAAACATTCTCTAATCTCATTCTCTAAGATTGGTGGTTTTCAACTAAAAGCAGAGCCTCTAGCGAAGAAGACTGATGCCACAAAACCACGGGATAGAGGGAGGAGCAGAAGCCTGTTATTTCTAAGCTTCGCTAGTGAGGACCCTCCCGTAGGTACAGCCTTGGATTTGGGAAATCCTCGGGCAGGTCGAGTCGACTAAAGAAGCAAGCGCGAAGATGTGGCAGGATAGGATACCTCCTCCCTCGCTCACCGCGGGCTGTCACAGTAGTTGGCGGTTGTGCCACTCACGCTGGTTTCTAAGACACCTCCAGGGTCCCTGGAGCCTTTTCCCCTCCGGTAGAGCGGGCTCCGTAGCCCCAGGAGCCGGCCGGAGTCGCGGACAAACGACGAGGAACCGGGATCGGCAGGGGATTGCTTCTGTCTGGGGCTCGGCGGAGCCTGCGTTCGTGTCTCGCGCGCACTCGCTCCGCGTTCTCCTAGCCAATCCGGCGCTACTCGCGCGCCCAGGAGCGTTCCCCGGTCCAGTTTGGGCTGGGCCGGCTCCTTCCCGCTCCAAGCACTTCGCAACCGAGCGCTCACTCCTCCCCTCACTCTCCACGAGTTCCACGATTCGCGGTGTAGCTCCGCCCCTGGCCCGAGTCCACCCCCGCAATCTCGGGAGCTTGTGCTCTCCTTTCCCCTCAGTCTTCTGCCGACTAGCCGCGCTGGGTCTCGCGCTCCGCAGAGCGGCACGAGTCTCTGCCGCCTCGCTCCTACGCCTCCGCGCGGTCTCCCTGGGCAGGCACCGCGTTCCCCACCCGCAGCCCTTCGCCTGCGACCCGAAGTCGGGGTCCCGCGTCCTGACTCCGCCCCCCCACCCCCCAGCGGACTCGCGCGCTCGGGGCCCGGCCTCTCACTCTCGCAGGCCGCGGAGCGCTCGGCGGCCTCCCCCTCCTTCCCTGCTCCGCTCGCGCTCCCCGGGCACTCTCACTCTCGCGCTCCGCAGAGCGGCACGAGTCTCTGCCGCCTCGCTCCTACGCCTCCGCGCGGTCTCCCTGGGCAGGCACCGCGTTCCCCACCCGCAGCCCTTCGCCTGCCACCCGAAGTCGGGGTCCCGCGTCCTGACTCCGCCCCCCCACCCCTCAGCGGACTCGCGCGCTCGGGGCCCGGCCTCTCACTCACGCAGGCCGCGGAGCGCTCGGCGGCCTCCCCCTCCTTCCCTGCTCCGCTCGCGCTCCCCGGGCACTCTCACTCTCGCGCTCTCCAAAGCGAGCGCGCTCCCGGCCCGCGCGCTCCGGGCTCTGGCTTCTCCCGGCTCCTGTCAGTGCGGTGACTGCGCTGGGAAACATGGCGACCGAGGGAATGATCCTCACTAACCACGACCACCAAATCCGGGTTGGAGTCCTCACAGGTAACCGGGGGAGGAGGTCCAGGACCGCCGCGGCCGCTGTCCCCGGCTTGCCTCGGGCTTCTTGCCTGTGATGACCCTTCTCTGCGGCCTCGGGAGAAGGGAAGGCAGAGGAAGGGGACGGGGTGGGGGGGCGGACGTTTTTACAACCGCTGAGAGGTGCTGGGAGGTTGGGGTGTTCCCGCGGGGTCCCCCGGGAGCTGGGGCCGGTCCCGTGGGATATCAGGCCCCAGTGCCTTCGCAGCCGAAGTCCTGGGCCCCTGGGGATCGAGGGGCCGGTGCGGCGGGCGCTGCAGGGCTCCTGGCTGCCGGTGCAGGCGACGGGATCCCGGCTCCGCAGTCTGAAGCATGCCGCTCTCGGCTTGCCCGCGCGCTCCCTCGGCTACTGCTTGTCCCAGAGAGAGGGGAATCCCTTTTCCACCCCCTCCCTCTTTTCCCTTCCCCCTACCTGGGCGGCCCCGCGCTGCTCTAGCAGTGCTTTCGCGGGGCACCGGCCACAGACGACATGGGTGTTCTTTAGGCGAAACTCTGCTCGGTCTCAGGCTGCCCCTCACGAGCCGGAAATCCCCTCTGCCACCCATGGGACACCCTTCGTTCCCCCCTCCCACCCCGGGAGGTGGGGATCGGCTTGCACCCGGACCTCGAAAAGTGTGTGCATTCTGCCTTCCCAAGTGGAGGGCCCTCTGCCCGCCTCTTCGTTTTCTTAGAGGGGAGGCTGTAGCCTGCGACTGGGGATCCTGCCTTTCTACTTGAGAGGGAAGGATTCCCCTACTCGGGCTCTTCTGTCCCCCTCCCTTCTGGGACCTCCCCCCACCCTCCCGAGGCTTGTGAGGAGCGCACTTTTCCCGGGTCGCGTTTCCCTCCCTCGCGGAAGCCGTGTGTGCTCTGCATGTCTGATTCCGTTGCGTTGTATTTGGGTAATATCCCTCAGTTCGGCGACAGGCAGTTGCTGCAGGGCATGACTTCCGAGATGAATAGCAAGCAAGATTTGTAGGGGTTTCTGCTGTGGTTCTGTAGTTGGTAAGGTTTCTATGTAATTGAGTGGCGAGGTGGGGGTTAAAGAACTGTATTTGGAACCTAAGAGCTTAGTTCGGAGGGAAGGAAATCCAAGACTTAACTGATTTTGGAAAAAGAAGCAATGTAGAAGGGAATCCTCATGTTCTCCCCCCTCTCCTTCCCCCCGCCTCACCACACACACACACACACACACACACACACACACTTTTTTTGCCCCTTGTCAAATTCTGACAGGTTGAGACGGTGCTCGAGAAGGGACTAAATTGAATGAGACTTGCTTTATTATTATTATTAGGCAGAGAAACATCTCTGTTGATTAGATAAAGAATGCAAAAGCTTAATTTGGCTGCTGAGTTTTATGAAGAAGATATTCATGGTACCCTTTGTTCTCTTTTAAATAACTGGGTCTTCTTTCTCTGATATTGTTTCCAGATGTTAATGGTAATTTATTGAATTTTCCTAATTGAAAGCCCCTGCGATAGAGAAACTAGTCTGAATCTGTTGCAGGGAAGGGAAACCACCTCCCACCCCATTAGAAGATGCGCTGTTCGCTTCTTTTGGTGCTGAAGCTCTTGCTTTGTGTGAAGATTCAGTTGTAACTCAGAAATCTTGGAGTTGACATTGCTGATTTTAAGAATCTTTTTGCGGGGTGTGAAATTGTATACCGTATATCAGCCCTCAACTCTCACTTTAGAATTTAAAATTAATAGAGTAGTGAGAGTAAAGCTTAATAGAACGCGAAGTGTGTCAACTGTCCACAGAAATGAAAGGTCATGAATGTTTTCAAGTTAAACCATAGAGATTTTTTTTTAAAACTTTTTTTATTGTTTTTTTAAGCTTTCTCTGATAGTTTTATTTAATGAATCAGCTTACCTGAGTCAAGTGACATAGTAGATAGCTGTTGTACAGAATGCTTTGAAAGGTGCAGCCCTTATCTGTGTCTCTGCAGCCCGATAGGGATGACATTGATACGCAAACAAATAAAGAAACACTGTATGTAATTACTGTGCTAAAATTGTCTAAATAAATTACTTGTGTGATTTAAAACTAAGTGTAAAAGGTATTCGTTACTCAGATGGATTAGGAGTAAATGTGATTACTTAAAGAGAGAATTTGTTATGTTTATCAGTGGTAAGAAGAAACTGACATTTTTAAGGGGAGTTGAAAGTCAGTTTGGTAGCAGCCTTATAAATGATATGTTGCTGAGGTTGAGGCTCTTGAGCAGAATAAAAATGTAATGCAAAGGCCCTGGAATACCTAGGTAGGATAGGTAGGTGGCACAAGCAGAATGTCAATGAGAGAAAATAACTTTGGCAGTGGAATTAAAGACAATAGATTGTCAAACTATCTCATGAAAATGAAGTACAGTGGTTTAGGGGGGAGAGTCTGGGGTCAGGAATGAGGATATAGCTGAAGGAATGAAAAGGAAGGTGCACATTTGGGAGAGATGGTAACAGAGGATGATAGGATTTGGTGATAAAATGGATATTTGGAGTCAGAAATAATTCTGAGAGATTTTTACTTAAAATTATTGAAACAAATATTGTCTGCTATGTTAGAGCCTGGAAACATGGAGAAGAATCAGAGGAACGAGCACTAGTTCTGTTTGTGAATAGTGGATTTTACTATGAATAGCTTAATATTTATGATCTTAACATTCCACACACAGTGAAAACCTACAAAAATAAAACCATTTTGCACAATTTTGTAAAACTTCCAAGTATTGAATTTTACTATGTAAAATTATTCTTTACTGAACTTAAGCAGATACTATGATTTCATACTTAAGAAAATTGAATTGAGGCCACACTTGAAACCATGTTTCTTGAGTTATAATTTGTGGCTCTCTCAAAGGTGGAGGGCTTGTTTTATAAAATATCCTCTTCATGTTTCATAATAGTGATTTTAAGTAATTTATGTAAGTCTGTTTTAGAGAGGTTTTACATATTTTAGAGGAAATGCACACATTTTACAATATGTTAGTATTTTGGTGAATTGTGTTGTCATTTTTAAAATCTTTAATTGACTTCTTTGTGACATCTTTGATAATCTCTTGAAAGATAATTTTTATACCATTTTGAAACTTTTCATCTTTTGGATGTTTTTGTAATCCTGTCTCAGCTATAAATTTGGAAAATGCGATATACAGCTATTGAAACTTATCAAATCGATTAACTGTTAGAATTTTGAAAGAATATAGTAGGAAAATATTTAGCAAAGGCATTTCTTTTTTCTATCACTGTCTTGAATCATTCAGAACTTGGAAATGAGTATGATTAATTAATGTAACATGGATATTTTAGTTACATTATTTTTTTTGGTCAGGTAAAAGGGAACATTTACATAGGCTATCATGGAAACATTTTAAGTTGAAGATTATTGTCCATCTGTGAAAACAGTATCTTTATTAGTAACTTTTTACGTTGATACATTTTAAGTTGAAGATTATTGTCCATCTGCAAAAACAGTATCTTTATTAGTAACTTTTTACGTTGATTTATTAGAAACGAAAGTTATGTGATCTTTAGTAATCTAATATCTAGTTTTTAATATATCAATTTCTAATGTTCTCTATTACTATTTATAACAGACTAAAGACAGTGTGATGATGAATAACATGAGGCAAGTAAACAAGTACTGTTGCTTTGAGACTAGAAATGAGATGTAGGAGAGATGTAAGAATTTTCTTTTTTATTTTATTTTTTTACCACCTCAGTAGTAATTATACTTAGTCAGTCTTAACAATTACACAGCAGGTTCACTGTATCAAATGTGTCACTTTTCACCGTTTTTCCCCCCTATTTCTGAAGAATCTGTTTATTAGGGAAGCAGACCACTACCTCTATAAGCTCCATGGAAACATCAGGAAAATAGAGTACATATATGTTTGTGATACAGGAATAGATTATGCTCCATTGGCTGTTTAATATCATATTAGCTAGCCACTGCTGATGTTTGGTATACCAGAGCACTTAGCTAAAGATAATAATCCGTTACCTAAATTTTCACTGATAGTGACATGGATGAGAAAAAGAGGCAAATATTTAGGAAAGGGCATTTTAAAATCATGGTTTTGCTCTAATAATATACATTTTATTGCACTAAGTTGTGGATTTGTAATCAGTAAGAGATATTAGACATATATAAGACTTATAGAGATTAGATGAAAGACTAATTGTAAACTAGAAACTAAAATATTAGTTACATTTAGGGAGTATTTCAGTCATTTATAACTAAATTCAACATATTAAAAAAACAAGTTCTAAGCCAAGGATTTAATAATCATATGACTCTGGAATTGTTCATTCATTTATTTCATTTCTTTCCTCATGCCTCTCTTTGTATATTATGTGTGTCATTATTATTTTCTGAAAAGCCCATTTATTGATAAAAATATATAAATATATCTTTTGAGAATAAATGCTGTCATTAAGTAAGGCAAATCACTATGGCAAACAAAACCTGTATCCTACAAAATGGAATTGAGTGTACTGTCAAGCATACCAATATTGATCTATATGACTGTTATTAAAAAGAAGCTTATTTCTCAAACTAGGTCATTCCTTCATGAATTTCTGATTGGAAGCAATGTATTAGTGATTAAGAAATCATTACATTAGATTCTGCTGAATACATTTAATACTATTAACTTTGATCAAAGACTTTATAAACTAGTAGTTTATAAACAAACAAACTTAGTTAAGAGTTTTAACTGTATTAAAGATACTTATGACTATTTGACTTTAACTGGGGTATGTGGTGGAGAATCAGCAGCCTGTTATTGGGGAGGAAGTGGTGAATGAATCTGTTTTTCTCTTACTGGTGATAGATTCCTGGTTAAGGTGAATGGGGTGCTTTTTTGAAATAGTGAGTAAAATAGATAAAGTCTATACTTTGCAATTGTAAATAAGATTGAAAAACTAAGCTTATTTAGAATTTGAGATGTTAAAATAAGGAAATCCTGAGAAAATAATGAAACCACAAGG